TGAACTCTTCGCTATCTAGGCTTTTATAATTTAAGCGCAGTACTAGATTGGCGTTGAGGTCTCATCAATTTACAGTTGAGTTGGCTAGATGTACCAATAAATTCTGTGCTAACATTCTCTCTTCTCGCTTGTGGAACTCCCTTCCAACCCCATGCTTTCCAGCCAATTTTAATCTGCAAAAATGTCAATCGCTATCTATTGTCCGATTATTCGTCTTTTTTCTTGCTCCTTAGTAATGTTTCTGGTTTCTAATTCTTTCACACCCAGTAACTCCTTGTGTCTTAGTGGCTTTGCTGCCTTGCTTGGGGTGAAATCGATTAAATTCTTCCACGCCCTTATGTCTTAGTGGCTTTACTGCCTTGTTTAGGACGAAATCGATTAAAGAAAGTGATGATTAAAATTGCAATAAACCCTAAATATACAAAAGTGAATTTAAACGTTTTCTTCGTTTTTGAGAATTGACAACAAAAAGAATAAAAATCATTAGATTGTTTATTGGAATGGTAGGCAAAACACTGGCTAATTGCTAATCGATTCGAATTTTATAAAATGGTAAATAATATGGCTTTCCTTATATAGTTGTTTCAGATATTTTAATAATTTAATAAAGGTTTAAAAATCATGAATAAAAATACTGTTCTCATATTTTTTTTAATAAATCGTTAAATGACAAATATTGGATTGTATTAGTTTTTGGAACGTTGCAAATAACATTATTCATGCAAACAAACAATCTAATAAATAAATAATGTTTATGCTTCAATTCTCAAGAACAAAATATATTCATTGTATGCTTAGGTTTTATTACAAGTGTAATGTTCACTTTTTAAAACAATAAATATTACTAAGGAGTGAAGGTAGTTAATATAATAACGACGTCAAGGGAAAAAACTTTTTAACACTTCGTGTTTTTGCGGTCCAAGTTTCCCAAGCATTTTTTTCAAAATGTCTAATTATAATTACTTCTGGTTATGTATTTACTTAATTTTTTTTATTCTCTTGTTCACGGATATTTTCATGAATTTATGAATAAAAAATGTTTTCATATATTTATTCTTTATAATATGGTAAATAAAAAAATATTGTAGTTGGTTCGCATATTTTATAAATTTGTAAAATTATTCATGTAAATAATTTAATAAATAAATAGTATTTAATATTTTGTTGCTAGTTTTCCAGAGAATATATGAACTCCCAAAATACCAAGCGTGTATACAGTAATCATAGTGTCAAGGGAAAAGAATTTTCTTTCTTTGCGGGTACGTATGTTAAAACTTTGCCAACATTCGTATAACACGTTTACAATAAGTTAATGATGAAAAAGTTGAGAAATCTTCCGACTTCATGCTTTACAATTTTGATTTTTTTTTAGTTTAAATGAAATGTCAGTCTTTATCTTCTGTTTTCTTCATTTCTGTTCTCCTTAAAAATGTTTTTCTTTTATTTTGGACGGTTTTCATTAAGTGCGGCCTTTAATCGGTTCAATTAGCAAAGTCATTCTCTGAATTTAACATCTGATTTTGTGGAAGCAGCTCTAAATGCGCAGTGCTCTTTCAATCGCACAAGATACACGGCATCAACTTTTCATTTTACTCAGAATCTTTTTCGCTTTATATTGTTGCAAACAATCCACTTTTCATAGCCTTTGGTCGTTCTTTTCAAAAATGAGCTGTTTTTCTTTTTGCGTTTAAGCATCAAATCGCATCTAGAAATGCGGTCCATTAATGTTTTTTCCGTTAAATCGTTACGCAACTAAACTTTGTAACGAGCCATATATCCAAGTGTTTTCAAATGCTGCACAAAGCTCTCATGAGATATGTGGAGTATCTCTGCGATGTCCCGTGAGCTGGATAATTTTTAATCACTGATTTGATTTTGTCATCATCGACGACTGCAGGTCTGCCGGAACATTCTCATTCTCAAAAATTTCCACTTTTGAAACTGCTTACAATCACTTCTCTCAGCTATGGCACAATCTCTATAAACGGCACATATTTTTTTGCTGTTTGTATTGTTTTTTTTTTTTCTTTTCCAGAAGTAAAAAATATAAAATGATGAAAATGCATATCAGGTTTCTCCATTTTAACTTAAAAACATTTAAAAGTCACGTACAGAAAGCAGCATGTCGATGTCACCTTTCAGAATATGTATATGTCAAAAGTTCAGTCATGTGTGAAACGAAATCATTTGTTCAGACCTCACCTATTGAAAAACGCTACAATGTTCTAATTCTTTATATATCTAAAAACTTATATGTGAAAAAAGAAACAAAAAAACGACAATAACTATCAAAATTGTTTTATAGAATCTCTTGAAATGATGAAGACTGTGTTTTTTATTTCTCTTTTCTTTTTTAAAAACAAAATATTTAACGTTTTGAAGATAAAATGTGTATTCACTTTCCAGCCTTGATAGAATTCAAAAGGGTCTCAGAGTTCTTGTTGGAGAAAAATTATTTTCCACCCTCGGACCTCTCTCTCACAGGCGGGGTGTGGCGAGTCACTGCTCTATCGTAGGGAAAGTGGTCGGACGAACTACATTCCTTGGTTCCATCAGGTCTAACCGTTACGGCTAGGATCCGCCATGCCACTTGCATAGTAGCAAACCAACCACATTCGCACCCCCCCACCTCGTAATCCATCGACGAGAAGTTCCACTTGAACAGCTTCTTCCTGTGAACCGCTGTTCTATGGAACCATCCCCCAAAAGGATGTTTCCCGATCATTACAATCTTGACCTGTTCAAGTCTAGAGTTAACCGTTATCTTCCCTTCCTATATATATATAAACTAACACTTAACATAAACCTCTAATTCGAGTGGTTCCCGGGCATTACTATTAAAAAAAGAAAAATGGAAAATGATCTTGGTAGTTAGAAAAACAGGTTTGGATTTTAGAAATCTGGATTTTCCTGTTCAAATTGAAATCTAGCAAATGTGATTTGAGAAATCAGTCTTAATATTGTTTTTTTTTAAACGGTTATCGTTTATGCAGTGTAATCGAGAGAAAAAAAACGTATGAAAAGACTTAAATTTTAAAATAAGTGCAAAACAAAACATAGTTGAAATAAGCATTTGTCATATTAAAATACTGTTTTATTTTTATACATACAGTGCAATTTCGGTTCTGGAACGTCTCACATGTCAAACAGATCGGTTTTCGAACAGAAAATTCGAGATGAAAATGCCTCGGTTATCGAACAAAATTTCGGTTCTCGAACGATATTGCCGAACTGAGTTAACCCGAACAGAACCATTTCTGAGTCGACCGCAGTGTCGTATACATTCGTGTGTTGTGTTTTTTCTTACAATTTTATTGTAATGTGGCTTTTTTTCTCTACATTGATTCCTAAGACGTACATTTCTGGGTAAAAACGGCCTTCAGGAACGAATTAAATTCGTGAAGCAATGCAATAATTTTATTTAAATAATTTTATTTTAAATAAAGAGAAAAAGATGCTTCTTTTCAGCCACGTTCTGTATTAACCTGTTAATAGCAGTTGTAAAATCTGGAATTAATTGTAAAAATTAAAATCCAGTATTAATTATAGATTTATAAAAATCTGGTATTATAGGTTTCTATCTATGACCCATGAATGATCACCATGCCATTTTGGGGACAGGGTATTCAGGAGTTGACTTTTTTTTTAATGAAATCTGATCCAATGATTTTGATATATTGGGATGATTATAATTGTCATCAACAAAATTTAATATTTTATGTAATCACCATTATTTCCATCAGAAAATTTAGATGAGTGTATTTTTTATTTTATTTTTTTTTACTGATTGCATTTTGCATTTTTTAAAAGGAGTTTGAACTGAATGCATTCTTTAACGAGGTCAAAGATCAATCAAGATCATCAGAAGGATGCAGAAAAGATAGCTGTGGAATAAACATCAACATGTTGACGAGTTCAATAAGGGCAGTTTAAATAAAAAATGGATAAAAATTAGAAATGTCTGCTGGGTTAACGACGCAGAGCTCATGGACATGTTGGAAAAGATCTAAGTTAAAAGGAATCAATTCAAGAGCTACTCAAAGCAACAAACGCCCAAGAAGTTCCTTACTATATAAAATGATCCATTTTGTAAATATTTACTAAAAATTTATATTACATCCACAAATCAAACTGATGAATACACCAAATAATTCCATCAAGAAATAGTTAAATGCTATATATATTATATATATATATTACATAATAGAGTGGCACTGTATTTTAAACATCTCTTTCCTACTATCAATCAAAGTTTATTTAACAGTGGAAATGGAGCGTTAAGAGATTTTTTTTTTTAAATAGAAAGATGCTCACGCGAATTCCAGCCGCGCGCAACATGCGATGGCTCGGAATATACGCTCCTATTCAAAACAACACAAAAATAAAATACAACTTAAACAGTTAAAACTAACATCAAAAACAAATACCCTTGAAAATGGCTAAAGAAATGGCCGAAAGCGCTTGGGACAATGAAAATTATGCTAAAATTTTCTGTACACGTTACTCCTACAAAACGAAAAAAAAAAAACGCTAGGCTGCTGGAAAACTAAATAAACAAATTATATCTTCCTTGTCTGCCGTATTTAATGAGAGATATTTAAAAAAAATATTGCGGCCCAAATATATATATATATATATATATATATATAGTTTTACCTCTATAACTCTTCTAGTTTGGCAGGCATTTATAAATATATATATATATATATATATATATATATATATATCCTGGCATCTGATGTTATGTTGGTTCAATGTCCCATGCTAACAGGTTATTTAAAGCCATAAAATATTTTCAGATTATAAGAATTTTTGGGGAGATAATAATGATTTACTGATACAAGTCATCCTAATTAACCTGGAGAGAGAAGAGGTGGATTCATGCCTTTCCCAAGGGTATTTGTGCGTAAGTGAATATAAGAAACCCAACTCGAATTGGAACTCATTTCTCCAGTTTCCAATTTCAAACTGATATCCACTTCACCATTTTACAATCCAAGCTTACAGCACCTGGCATTCCCAAGTGGTCCCCCATCTAAGTACTGACCAGACTTGATGTTGCTTAACTTTAGTGATCGTATGTCAACCGGTGTTTCAACATGATTTATCTGCAAGCCTTCTTAATAAACTAAAGTGCTAAAAAATTAGGTTCTAGTATACTGAATGGTCATATCCATCCCGTTGGCAAAAATAAACTCAGAAAGTTTACATATATAGAGTGTAAGAAGTAGAATGATAGTAAATTGCAGACAGCCATAGGACGCAGACAGGATCTAAGACCATTTAAGCATGGAATGATTCCTGAAACCAAAAAAGTGGGGGAACCCTGTCCCAAAGGGGGCAACCTATGCTAGGCTGTTGCTATTGTTGCATTAATGTTAATGATCAGTTTTTGGCTGCCATTTGGTTTTTGTGTTTTTCCCTGATTGGTTGGTTAGTTGTTTTGTTCAGTGGTTATCAACCTCTATGGTTTATTTAATGCCAAAATCTAAATATTTTGAAAGCAATTTTTTAAGCCATAATAATAGCTTTAGTGATACAAATCTTATTGCTGCTTTTTTATGGCTTATCAACCTTTAGCAGTTTTTTTGAAGCCAGAAAATATTTTTAGATTGTAAGAATATTCTGAAGATAATGATTTACTGAAATAATTTCTACTAATTAACCCATAGCTGGTGGGGGAGAAGATGTCGATTCATACCTTTCTAAACGGTATTTGCATGTAAGTGAATATAACAAACCCAAGTGGAATTAGAACTCAGCACTCCAATTAACAATTCCAAGCTGTTATCCATTACACCACCCACACATCTAAGCTTAGAGCACCTGGTATTTCCAAGTGGTCACCCATGTAGGTGCTGGCTCAACATTAAATTTTGGTGATTATACAGGAACCTGTGTTTCAACGTTATATGGTTGTAAGCCTGTTGGTTTCAATCACAAGAGGAATGACTGCAAAACACTTGCCCCTTCCCAATTTATAGACAGAAATACACAAATGCATGTTGGGATTTCTTCCTAGACAATTAAATAGGCCTGTTCTTAGTTTCATATGATTTATGTCTGGTCTGTCTTGAAGTCAGAATGACATATTTGCTTATCCAAACATGCTCTTGTGTGTCAACCCCAATTCTTAGTTTGTGCACTTTTTACCATATCACTGTTAATTTGCCTTGTATATATTGTTTGCTTGCTTTATATTATTTATTTGGCCTGTTCTTTAATTTTTCTTCTTATTGCAAACATTGTCAATTCTGTTTGTTGATCAGTTCTATTGTTTATTTTACATTTAATGATGGCCACTCACTCTTCACAGCCCCTCGAAGGAAGAGGTTATTTATTTTTCTCATTGAATCCAGTTAATAAGGGTTAAAGAATGAATCAGCTCAAATGTTATGCTAGCAACAGAAAATATCTGAAGAGGGGGTTCAATTGTCTGAACATATATTTGCTATAATACTTTTTTGTTATATGATCATTGAAATATTACAAAAGTCAAATATGATTTTCTGTCCATTAATCAAATGTTTTAAAAGTTACTTTCGTTCTTTATGGTTTTAAATTTGCCTGATGGGCAGGCATGATTCACTGAATGAATATCATTGCCTTTTTTCTTCTTGTAAATAGTTTGTCGACATTAGGTAAAGTCTGAATGAGTGAATTAAGAATTCTTTCAGAAGGAATTTTAATCCTGTTTCACAGATGGGCTTTTAGTGAGGGCATCAAGCACAATGACTTCACTAGATAAGAGTAACAAATCCCAAAAGAATTTCCAGATGGGTAATTCAAATGAATACCTGTCTATAAGTAACTCATTCTTGAAAGAAATCTAAGAAGTTACAACATCACCTAAATCCCTATATCTGTTCAATCAAATAAATCTGGCTTTCAAGTAGAATAAGAAAGTATGTCATGTGGTCTGTATAGTCTTTATAGATATTGAACTTTATATATATTTGTCAAGTAAGTGATCCTAGAAGAGCCAAGTTATGGATATAAAAAGAATGTTTGTATGACTTGATCAATTTATTTATACTATTGTTTTCATTATTATAGACAATTTGATATGGGATAGTGTGACTGAGATTATAGGATACTAACACAATACAGGATGTACAATATTAACCAAAAATAATGGACACCTGAAGATGGTCAGAGTGTACATAGTTGAAACATTGTGGCTATAAAAGTCAAAGATGAGAATAATAGTTCAAATATACTGAGTCAGTCAAAGTGTATTGACAAGTCCTCAAATGGACGTGGTAAGTGATCACAGAAGGTTCAAATATTTGATACATGAATCTAAAGTTTATTTACATACTTAATAATTTTATTTGACATATTGTTCTCTTCTTTGGTTGTTATTATATAAGCACAATCTTTCAGTCAAATACTTTCTGACCATCTTCAGGTGTCCATTATTTTTGGTTGACATTGGATATCTTGATCAGGATACAGAACAATAACACAATAATCAGCACATACAATATCAGCCAAAATAATGGACATCTGAAGACAGCCAGAGTGTACTTGGTTGAAACATTGTATTAATAACAATCAAAGATGAGAACAATAGTTCAAATAAATTGAATAAGTATCAATATATTGAAAATTCCTCATCTTAAAAAAACAAAACCAGTTAAAATTATTAAGATTGTTACCTAAAAATACAGTAAGCTTCAAGTATTAGTGTTGTATACAGTAAGTGCAAATAAACTGTTTTAAATTATTTATCAGAAAGAAAAAACATCATTTTGGAAATTTAATGAAAAAACATTAATATTAATTTTTCATTTATTATATAATTGTCAAAAATGTTAGGTGCAGAAGAATTCAGAAAAGGCTGAGGTAACTAAGATATGTATTTTTGAAAGGGATGGCTTCCTGTAGCTTAATGGTAAAAGCAAACCAGGAATTTCTTTAAAATTCAAGCTATGCTGATAAATGAATTCGGAAATATTTAAATATTGTAGAAAAATGCAAAAGACGTGGTGATGAGCTCAGTGCGAACTGACTGAAATTGGATGCAGAGGCTTCGTTGGGCAGTCATTATGTAAGATGCTGCTAAAATTAGGTCTAACAGGCTGGGAAAAGAACAAGGCTATTCACTCAATAACAATGGCTGCAGAATGGTTATGGCTTAAAAGATCAATTGATTGGCAGTCAGTCAGGATGTAAAAGGAAATTGTGGTTGATATTTTTTTTCAATGGAACTAGAATATAGGTTTGGGTATGACAAAACTACACCCTACAATGGCGTCTCAACTAGAGATCAGAATTAGGGTACCCTGAACCATTTTTACCTAAAGATGATCTATGGCTAGGATCTAGCATCTTTTTCAAAATTAATAGTTTTTTTTTTTATGTACACAATGGATACATGAGAAGGGTCTTATATTTATTTTGTTGACTGGATAATGAACATAAATGAAAATAAGATAAAAGTGATTAGAATCAGTTTCCTGTGTTTACGTATGTGTGTGTGTATGTATATGTCTTAGTGAGAGGGAAACAAAACCATTACTTACCACTTCAAGTCGAGTACCTCTCCAAATTCTTTACCAGATAGGAACTATTACTGCATTTGCTTCCTTTTTTTATGGAAGAGCATAGATTGCTGATGAATCTGAATTAATCTGTGACTGAACTATAAACTACCAAGAGAAGTTGCAGTGTGTGATTAAAAATTAGAAAAGTTGTAACTGATGGATGACACTTAAGTTGATACCTGATCAGTGATGGCTGGGTCCCCATGGAAAGGGGCGGGGTATGATGTTGAAATACCCAAAACCCCCAAATAAGCCTCAGCTAAAACCATCACTGATGATGTGTGCCAAAGCATCAAACAGATGTATTTTATGAAAGACACACATAAATGGGGGGGGGATAACATGGGACGGTTCAGATCCCAACTAATCTAAAATCCCAGGTCGTAATTCCAAGGGTCATAAATGAGTCTCACAAGTTCAAAGTAACAAAACATGTGGGGCTTGAATAAAGAAGAGGATAAAAATCTGTATCCAAAACTCGCAATGCACAACAACCTTCTTGACTTATGAAGAACTAAGACTACACCAGTCATTCAAATGTGATTGGTCAAGACTCATAGGGAAGCACAAACATTTAGAATATTTTTGATTGAGATATATATATATATATATATATATATTTATATATATATATATATATATATATATATACACACACACACACACACACACACACACACAGCTAAATTGTCTAAATTACACAAAAATGAAAATAACACTGACATCTCATTTTAATAGTAATAGATATATTTACCAAAATTACCCAAAAATATCTTAAAATACTAAAGAGTAAATTTATTCAATTGCTATTGGCCTCAACCATGGCCTCCAGACAACTTTGCAATCTCCTGCATCTTTTCTGGATGGTCTCCTTGTTTAAGTTGGGGAATGCTTGCATAATCCTTGTCTTCATTTCATTTTTGGTGTTACAAGGAGTTTGTTGGTCTTTCACTCAACTGTGCCCCACACATAATAATCAAGGGGGTTGCATTCTGGGGAGATGTAAGGAGTGATGTGGTTGCAGAAATTGTCTGACAGCCATGACTGGATTCTCTTGCTTGTGTGGCATGGTGCAGAGTCCCATTGCCAGCAACCACCCTCTTGACCCAGGGAAACACTACCTCCTCAATGCACTTGATGTAGGCTTCTGTGTTGAGTCTGAGGCCCTGTGGGAAGGTGAATGGAGGCATAATGTCACCATCACTAATGATCACTCCAAACGCCCTTTGTAATCACCATTAGACTCATCCAAGTCTTTCTGAATACTCGGCACTGTCCTCAGATTGATAACCAAACACTCTGAAATGTTTGTAGCGGGGCTTCAAGCATGAATACCAAGCACTATAGCATGCTATTTCCAAATTTCTGACAGAGTGAATTGTATCATTGTGCTCTTTTTCTCACAGACAGTACCCAGCTGACCTTACTATACTGTGCAGTCAAGAAAATCAAGAACAAGCAACACACGTGTGAAATTAAGAATATAATATGGCGACAATTTAATCATCGCATGCTATATATATAAATATATATATGTGTGTGTGTGTGTGTGTGTGTGTGTGTGTGTGTGTGAATAAAGACAAAATCAAAACTTATCTGAGCCGACATGTTTCCCTTGATGGACTTTATCAAGGCAATTGTAAGGATTTTATTTTGCCACAAGTATTTATATAAAAATGTATAAATGTTATTAGTTTTTAAAAATTTTTAAATTTAAGAAACGCTCATAAATAGTCATCAAGTTAACTGAAAAATAATATGAATATCAATTACATTATAAAAAAATTAAATAACAATTTATTCACTTTTATTTATTAAACATTAAATTACCTCACTTGAATGAATTTATCAAGACAAATTTAAAAATTTTGTGGAACCTGGATTAATATTACACATATAAAAAGTAATGCTAGCATCCACCATAATTTTAATTTCTTTTTGTTAATGCTGAGATATTTTCAAATATTTCTCTAATAGAAATTTGAACAATGTTATTTTTCTCAACTTTACTCTGTGTGTATAAATATGGATTCTACATTTGCCTTGATAAAGTTCCTCAACGCATTGGCATAAAAGGTTTTTCTCGTGTCATTTCTTTTATATATATATATATATATCAAACAGATTTATGTGTCTAAAACATGTCAAAAGGAAGTTTTTTCCTATGACAGCACTTTTTTTAACTAGCTTGACTCTTTGGCAATGTTTATTTTTTTTAAAAAGCGATGATTAGAATTGGAATAAAACCTATGAAAGTGAATTTATACATTTTCTTTGTTCTTGAGAACTGACAACAAAATAGGTATTCATTAGATTGTTTATTTACACTATTTATTTAATATATTATTTATTTGAATGGTTGGCAAACATCGGCTAATTGATTCAAACTTTATAAAATGGTAAATAATAAGGATTTCCTCATAGTTGGTTCATATGTATTTAATAATTTAGTAAGTGTTTATAAATTTATGAATAAAAAATTGTTTTCATATTTATTTCTCTATAAATAGGTAAATGGTCAATAATGCATTGGATTAGTTCTAATGGTATTAGTTTTTAGAATTTTATAAATATGAATGTATTCTTGTAAATAAACAATCTAATAAGTAAATAGTGTTTAATATTTTTGCTGTAAATTTCTCAAGAATAAAAAAAATGTATAAATTTAATTTCATCAGATGTTTAGTGTTTATGACAATTCTAATCATTGCTTTTTAAGGCAATAAACATTGCCAAAGAGTGAAGGTAGGTAAAAATATGATGTCATGGGTAAAACTATCCTTTTGACACTACTTATTGCAGGTACATGTTTGCCATATATAATTTATGAAAACTATCAACAAAGAAGAGGTACTTAAATTTTCTTTTAAGATAACAGGTGTTGGTCTCTATATTCCCAGCTTGTAGCAATACAGAAAATATATTCTACTTATTTGAGATTGTGATAAAAAGACAATGAGAGAACAAGATTGTTTGCTAATTCTGTTATTACTATTATCACTGGATTGATGCAAAAAAAAAAATTGAATAAAGACAACTTTGTGCAAATGGAAGTTATCGCTTATCTACATAAAAGTAGCTGTGCCAGAAATACTTTTTTTTTTCCCATACTTTCTTATTTCATTCAGATCATGGAATGATCATGAACAGAGGTGATTTAAACATCAATCTATTGGAACATTTCCAAGAAAGTAAAATTAAATATTTGTACAGCATTACCAAAGTTTGTTTGCCAGTATCCATATCTGTCACATTTTCACAAATCACAAAGAAATGCACCAATCCTAGTGATCAGTTTTTAAATAGGGAGTCAAAGGTGCATTTTATTCTTTTGAAATGTTAGCAAATCCTGTACAAAGAAATATTACCAAAGTTACTTGTGATCAATTCAGTCTCTCCATGATTTATTTTTTCCAAGAGAGTGGGCTTTAATATCAAGAGGGGTGTTTTTTCATTTTTTTTTTTTATATGAAGTGGAAGTTTCAGGATGGATTCAATGTCTGACCTTTAATCCACATCTTGTATCTTTTGGAAGGTTTCACTTCAGAAACGTCCTGCTTGTCAATTTTGTCAAATCTTGCTTTTGCATTGAACCAGTTTTTCTCCTTCTGGGATATTAGCGTCATGGCTGTAGCACAAGAACCTAAGCCAGCAGCTGGATCCAACCGGACAAATGGGGTTATCTGGTGAAAAAGAGTTGGTAAACAAATCACACAAAGAATGATTGTATAAATGGTTGTGACTTAGCACTAAAAACTGTATTAAAACTCTCAAGCAAAATCAGAGAAAGGCTGACAATATTACTGAATTTTTAGCTCTTTTTTCTTTCTTTTTTTTTTAAATTTATGACTATTGAGCATTTCATTTTAAAATAAAGTATAGAATCACCCATTACTTTTGAAACATTTCGTTTTCAGCTATCTCCATGTATGGTAAAAGGCACATTAGCACAAGATAGTTCTCTCCAAAAAGTGTAACATTGTGAGTGTTGAATATAGGAGAATAATTTAAAATTAATGATTAAGAAGGTAGTTTGAAAAATATTGTATTTCTGAAATAGAGATATTATTAAACAGTGTCAGTCTGACAGTTGCAAGTCCTGCATGAAACTAAGGAAGAGAAGCAGGATGTAGTGAGGCCTTTTCATTGGTCCCTGAATTGACTAATCTGCAACTAGCAAGAATTCTTGATTTCTCTCACTCACTATACCCTCTCCATCACTGATAAGTAGTCAGCAACAATTCCCCTGCTGGAAACAATAAAATTGGCCTATACAGATTCCATTGTGTGTGTGCCATTTATTATTACAAGAAAACCTTTTGCCTGGTGAAAAGATGGCTTTTTACTTCCAGTGTTCAATTCTACGGTATTGGCTGGAAGACAGCTGATGCAACTACTATGAAAAGATGACTAGTTCACTGAAGACCAGTTTGAGCCACATCTGATGAAAAGCCATATTTAATTCTGTTAGATCAAGACCAGATCATTCATATACATTGTTGTACCATTGTTCTGGTTTTCTACTTCTTTTGCCAATTATCATATCCTCTAAGCAAATGTTGGAGAGTGTCAATCTTGCACATCGTTTTATGTGACTGTTTGGTTTTAACATCTTGCTTTTGATCATGGACATAATACCTTAGTTATCTCAAGAAGTATTTCAGTTTTCATATCCTTTGGCAATCGATGGTTTGTCAAGAACTGAAATGGTATGACTTACACAGTAATAAATTCCAGCCAAGAATACAATACAGCATTAAAATTCTAATTGAATTGAATCTGAATTGAAGCATTCAAACTTCTATGAGCAAAACAGATTCTTCAATTAATGAGTTTATATTTTGATTAGAAACAAAAGATACATAATAGAAAGATTCATAAAGGAAAAAATATAGCTTCTTTTCATTAATCCCTTTCTTGCCAATTTGAGAAAAATATTTCATTTTCAGACAAATTATTTTATTTGTTTTTAATATAGTAACTAAGAAACTGAGGTACCTTGAAGTACCTAAGTGGTGGTTAATACCTCTACCAGATGTATGAGTTGATAATGGAACTCGTTTCAAGCTCAAAAGACCATAAAAAGAATCAAGATCAATGTATAAACACGTCTGGAGTTGGTTCTTTAACATTATGTTTTGGATGTGTTTATTCGTCCATGTCTGAAAAAACACTTTCAGTAAGAATGTATATACATGCCAACGCTAGGGAAGGGGTTAAGTTAATTTCATTTAATTTTTGCAAATCATTCACATGGTAAACTTCTCTATTCATCCTAATTTTTTATTTCTATTCTAACAGCTTGAAGCTTATTTTTTTTTCACAATGATGTCCACCCTGTACAAAGCCCAAAAGCTACACAATCTAGAGAGGTACAGAGTAAGAGGGTCAGTTTATAGGATGTGGGAAAGATAATGTTCGACCATTGACTTGAACAAGTTAAGATTATAGTGATTGGGGAAGCATCCTTTTGGAAGTGGATTCCACAAAGCAGTGGTTCATGAGAAGAAGCTGCTTGAGTGAAACTTTCATCTTACCAATAGAATACGAAGGCAATAAAGGTGATTCCCTACAATGGGCATGGCATGGTGGGTCTTAGGCATGAAGATTATAATTGCTAGAACTGAGCAAATGTAGTTCGTCTGAATACTTTCTATGGAAATAGCAATAAAGCAGCAAAAGAGGTTTTGTGACATTTTGTCTTTGGGAAGGGGGGGGTTGTAGGGTGGAAAATAATTTGTCACCCACAAGGACAGAATGACACTTTTGGACTCCATCGAGTGTAGAAATTGAAACCTGGGCAGCAACTGTACTCCATTTTTGGCCTGATCTGACTCTGGACTGGTACAGAGAACCAACTTTTTTTTCCGACATCTTTAGCGATGGGTCATATGTACAGTTCCACATGAGATCTGGATACTTATGATGCATCTGTGAGTTATAATGCTTAACCCAAGCCAGACAAGATTTTAAAGAAGAAAATATTCTGATGATTGATCATTTGGCCAGATTTAGCCATATTCTTAGGAATTAGCCTGAGGCCAATAACTTTTCAGCACTTCATATATGATAAACATTGTAATGCTTGTTTTTCTACACAGTATTTGTAATTTATTCACAATACACAATGCAAAGAAATATAACTTATTTAATGCTGAAATTTTCTTGATGTACAAGAAACTTAGCATAATTATATATATTTTTCATACATTAATGCATATAATTGTAAGACTGTGTTATCTTAATTATTTAGTATGCAGTTTACTTTTTTAAAGAAATGGCAGGTGATTATAGCTCTCCACAGATTTCCTTTCTTTATTATCTGTGAATTACCATGACCTCTTGGGAAAGATAGTGGGGCAGTTCCTCATTGCCTTCTCCATGGCTTGCAATTTATTTTTGTTTCTCTTAGACTGGTTGCCACCTAAGGATATAGAACCCAGTCTACCCTGCCATTTAACATATCGACAGGGAAAAGAGATGGATTTATGCCTTTCATAAGTGTGAAATTGAACACAACAGACAAGGCTGGAATTTGAACTCAGGATCACCAATTTCACTTTCCATGTTGATAACCATTACACTAATCACACAATGTTGATTTAGCTATGCAGGTTTAGCATTATTCTCTAAGAAATCCTAAAAGCTTATATTTAAATAATATACTGCATTTTTTGTAGTGAATTTCAGTTATTTTATCGGTTTTGTTTTCATAAGTTTATAATTTATCATATTTTTCAACCAATTATTTAATCTTTCAAAGTGACTATATGTGAACCTAAGGAAGCCCATAAACAAGTGGTTAAAAGGAATCAATCCTTCTTAGAAAAAATATCAGGGCAGATCATTGACACACTAAAACCTGACAACGTTATATGCTTAACAATTCTCTAAATGTGCTTAAAATTTTGATAAATTCCCCTCTGATGATATTTCAAGATATAAAACAGTAATTTAAATGGGAAAATATGTAAGTAGGAGAGAAACTTAGAATGGAATAGATCACTTCCTGCTGCTGGTACCATATAAGTGAATACAATCTGTCACACGTTACTTGGAGAGAAGATCAACACTTCTAAGGAAGCTTCATTACTCTGAAAAATGGTATGGCCTAATAACCTAGTAGTTCTTGGGATACGGATATATTGATCTGAAATTCAAACTTACTGGTTCTACAATTCCACAGCTGGTCTTGCCAAGACTCTGCCCAGAAGACCAACCCAGCTTCTCTAGCATCTTTCGACCTCTGTTTTCTGTGGAAATTTCCCTAGAAGAAAAAGCAAAGAAAAATAACAGTTGTGTCAATACAATTTTTAACTCAAACTGAATTAACAGGTAAAAGCTGAATCAAAACATAGGAAAAGGTTACTTGTTTACATTCCAGTCAGACTAATGTCGTCAAGTTTGCTGTTACAATCACATTTCAGCCATTGTGCCTTCTGACATTCTTTGGAGGGTCTATCAATTTGGGTAACTACTGGAGAATTTAAAATTGAACCCTTTATGCAATATACTGCAGCAGACTCTTCTCATTCTCCTGTCCTTGTCTAGGGATAATTTGTTCAGTTATTGCTAGTCCTGTTTCCACTAAATCTGAGTATATCAAGTATGACCTGGTTCAAGGATTGAACTTACAATAACTATCTCACTAAAATTTACTAGCTAATACTTGAATTCTCTAGTCTATTATCCCCTTGGGTAATCCTTAGAAACATTATAAAGAAATATACAATTCCAGTCAACAAAAACAAAAAAATTCAATTAATTATCTACTATAAAAAATTTTAAACTGTAAAACCCATTGTCAACAACAATAACTCACCTGCAAGATCCAAATTACAGAAAACCAATATTATATACAAATTCACATGTCCCTTAAGGAACTATGTTCCTGATCAAACCAAATTCATAAATAATTATATTGGATACACTACAACATGCCTAACAAGAAAGCACATGTTACATCTTTCTGACCATAGCTCATTTTGGTCTCATTTAAATACATATGGAGACTTACCAAACTCCATCTGCAACATACTCATTGATAATACAAATATAATAGCTTCATTCACATGTTAAAAAAAAAAAGATTAAAAATAATGGAAACATTATTAATAAAAAAGAAAAAAACCAACACTCAATAATATCAAGTATGAACCCAGTTCCATTGTGCAGACCGTGTTTGGAAAATAAAACATTACTATAACTGTAGATACATACATAAAACAATCCATACATTTGGTTAAAAGTAAAAATAAAATCATCCTTGATAATGCCAAAAGCATAGCCAAAGTGTTCAGACATATAGAACATTTGGACAAATTCTACATAATTTATGTCCAGGAAAGAAGAAAATTATAATAACACAATAAAAATTGAATAAAAAACTTAGCCACAGTTGTTTTTAATGAAACATATATATATATATATATATATATATATATAAAGAGAGAGAGATTTATATGCATACATTTTAAATAACCCTACTCAATAGAATAGAGTAAACCTGGACACTCGTATGTGAGTATGCCTGTCTGCTAGGGTGGCTAGCTAATCCCTATTGCAGACGCCTGCACAGACACATTTGTGTTTGTTCAACACCCACAGAGCCCACCTGTAGTTTATACTGCAACTATGCTGAGTCGATCTTAGTCACAATTTCTGGGAGGGAGTGCGCATTCTCTGGCATGTTCAAAGTCAGTACGTTCCAAAGGTACTGCATGCTGGGGTCACCTCTACAGGCTGATAACACTAAAAAGTTACCTTCTTGACAAATTGACCATGTTGAGATTCAAACTCACATTGTACCTACCTTATCACATACCCTTTAAGATGCTAAACACAAATATAACTGCAGACTTAAACAAGAAAATGCAGATGTTCCATTGTAGCTTATAGAGCAATAGTAAAAGAATTTCTAATATTATACATCAACCCTTCCTTTGTAACTAATAAGTGGCATACTGGATAATATATTGCACTCAGAGACATTCTAAAGTACTTTCATGTACAGGGGGAGAAGGTAGGAATGCTGAAAAGTTCTTGGCTTGACTCACTGACTATAATACTGATTTGGGGCTGAGAACTTTTCAATAGACTCTCATATGCTTAAATGTTTTTACACAGAATGCTTCTTCTTTATGTGCCTTGCGCCTTCAGGATACAGGCAATCATGGCTCTCCACAATTTCCTGTCTGTTGTAGCTCTTAATAAATTTTATCTTTCTGCTATTTCTTCTAAACCCTGTTCTGCCATCAATTCATTATGTTATGCATTGTTTTCCTCTGCCCCCCTTGCCTTCAACCTGTCCTGTGAGTATCATATTTTCCAAGCCCTCTTTCCTCATTATGTGCCCTAGAAATTTCAAATGTCTCCTCCTGATGTTAAATACAAGTTTCCTTTTTGTTTACATTTTCTCTAAAACTTCATTGTTGCTGACTTCATTTCTGTTGCTTCTAGTCTTTTCTTCATCTTTGAGGAGATTTCCAGCATTCACTGCCATCTAGGAGGATAACAGTTCAATACTCTTTTCATTCTTTCTAACAAATTTTCTCTGTTTCTTAATACTCTGCTTAGCTTTTGGAATGCATCTTTGGCTAAACCAATGTGCCTTCAGATTTCAGTGTCACACTTTCCATTCTCTGTTAAAACACTTCCCAGATGTTTAAATTTTTGAACTTGTTTGATTTTGGTATCTTCGATTGGTAATTTGTATATTGGGCTCTTCCTTTTGCTCACAACCATACCTTCTGTTTTCTTGCAATTGATATTTAATGCTTTCTTCTCGTTTTCCTTCACTAACTTCTGTAGGAGCTTTTGTTTTTTTTTCTTTCCAGGTCTGTCATCAACACTTTGAAATCTGCATATCTTATCTTGTTAAGATTGTGACTTCTAATAATGAATCCTAATAGGATTTATAATTCTCTCAGAATCATCTTGCTGTATAGATTGAATAAGCCCGGTGAGAAGACTGGCTCCTCTTTTTATCCTCTACCTGTACAAGAGCCAGATCAGCTCCAAAATGGAGTACTGTTGGCATATTTGGGTAGGACCAGACCTTACTCTCCAGACTCCAAAAGTGTCCCATATGTGTAACAAATTATTCTCCACCCTGCAACCTCTCTCCTACAGGTGGGATGTGCCAAGCCTTGGTCTGCTCTATCACTACTTCTATGAAAAGTGCTCGGACGAACTACATTCACTGGTCCCACCAATTCAAACCTTCATGGCAAGGACACACCATGCCACTTACATAGTAGCAAAACACCCACATTCCCTCTGTATTCCATTGGTGAGTAGAAAGTTCCACTCTAACAGCTTCTTCCCATGAATCACTGCTCTATGGAATCAACTCCCAAGAGGATGTTTCCCTGATCCCTACAATCTTAACCTGTTCAAGGCTAGGGTTAACTGTTATCTTCCACTCCTATCCACATAAATTGCCTCCTAATGTAACCCTCTACCTCAATACCCTCCCATGGTCTTGTAAAGTGTGAATCTTATTGTAGAGAAAAAAAAAAGACACATCCATATCTTATGCCTCTTTCTATATTTTTCATCAAAATATAGATCACTAAACAATTTGAAACATGAAAATGTTAAGAGTATATAACAGATCAATTAGAGGTCATAGGCAAAAAGTTTTATATGAAAAGATTTATATTTCAAAATGCTGGCATTTTTGGATATATAATGACACATATACAAAACATGGTAAATAGATATATTGCAAACAGGTATAAAACATTACCAATGAATCAATTCAGAGAGCAAGTTATCTTGCTTAGGAATTAGGTTTCCAAAAGACAAATTTCCAGTTTGAAAAGCTTCAGAGAAAAAATTCAGCTGTACAAGAGCTAAGATGATTAGTTGAAAACAATCCACATTCGTAAATGAGATAAGAATCATTATTTACAATATTTTCATTCGGACTATTGTTCTCGTCTTTGTTGTTGTTATCACATTTCGACCATTGTGCCTTCCAGCCTTCATCAGGTGTATATCAATCTGGGTAACCTACAGGGAATTCCAAATTGAATCCTTTATTTAATCTACAGGGTAGACAGTTCTCGTTCCACTGCCCATGTCTACAGATATCATTTCTAGTTTTTATTTTTAGTATTGCTCAGTTATTGCTCACCTTGTTTTCACTGAGTCCAAAGACATACTGCCCGATTCAGAGATTGAACTCACAATTACTATTTCACAAAGTTTGTGAACCAATGCTTTAATCAACTAGGCTATTGTCCTATAAGATAAAATCACTTAAAAAAAAATTGGGGTAGTCTGGCAGGTTGGGTGCACACACATGTTTCTTTTTAGGGCTTTAATCAGAAGGAAAGAGAAGGAAAGCTGTGGGTAAATTTACTGGGTATCTTAATTTATTTCTTTTCTGTCTGGTCATTATTGAAGTCTCTGCTTCGAATTTTTAAACACACACAAACACATATTACTAACAAAATCTTGTATCTTATGGTTCTAATCCATGACTGAATCTATGTTGAGCAAGATTTTTCACGTCACTGCCCACAATTCAATTACATCTCCAAGATTCTCACAGATTTATCTTCAATTATAATCAATGCTTATTATGTTTGCATTAAGTTTCTAAAGGTTGGTTATTTTTTTTTTTTTATGTCAGACTACAGGCTTGTATCAATAAAGAAAGAATTAGAACCAGAGTAAGACAGAGAGGTGAGGAGCAGCTGAAAAGAACAAAGAAAGAAAAAAAAAGAAGAAAGAGAGAAAGAAAGACAGAGAAAGAGAGTATGAAAGACAGGAGGAAAATTTGTAGATGTCAGATTATCAAAGAAATGTAAAGTTTTCTATCAATTTTGGGGTGGTCAGAACAACTGACATAGGAGATGCTTGTAAAATCAAACAGCATTTGTCACAAGGGCAACATGGTTTATTGCTTCATCAGTTTCAACTTTTTTTTCATTAATGGAGGTCAGTATGTGGGGAGGAAGCACTGAAATAGCCAGTTACCAAAGCTGTATGAATCAAATGTACTGAAAACATGATCAAACAAGCACTAACATCTTCAACACTTTCATACTGTTTACATAAAACAGAGTGTAAGAACCCCAAAACAATAGTAGGAACTCCTCTCTCTCTCTCTCTCTCTCTCTCTACTGTTCTATACAGACCCACACATCTAGTGTTTGGAGTGATTTTGGGTGGTATAGTTTATTAACAATGGCCTTCTTTTTCTTTCATGATGTCGATGATTATAGATCTCCACATTTTCCTGTTTATTTTTGTTAG